TAACTGATATTATTAAAAAAAAGAATAATCAGCCCAATTCTATAAAAATCAGAGACCTGCTGGCCCGGCCCTAAGCTCGACCCGGGTATACGGGCCGGGCCATATTTAATTTTTTAAATATACTTAAGCCGGGCTTAAAAAATGTTTAAAAATCAGGCCGGACCTAAAAATTTTTTTAAAAAATACCCGGGCATATTTTAAATCGCCATTAAGGGAAACCGGAGTTATATTGTCCATAAAAAATAGATGAAGCAAATTTTCTAAAATGTTTAAGAGTATTTTTATTCTTTACATATATCTCTACGGTAGAAATTAATGTTTAGAAAAAAATCTTTTAGTATTAATATAAAATTTAAAAAAAGGAAAATTTATATGAAAAATACCAGGGGGTACATTATCCTTGCGTTGCATATCATAGCGCTTTTTTATTTTTAGATTTTCAAATATTTTTTATATAAAAATGTCAATTCTAAGTAAATAAATAAAAATAAATTGTCAAATATATTAAATTCACCAGGTTCATCTATATTATGTATATCACCAGGAAGCTTGTTATCACTTAAAACTGTTATATAATTTACAAAATATAAGTCGCTCAACTTCATATTGTCATTCGGTACCTTAGACAAACTAGTAATTTATAATATTCATAAAAAAAAATTAGATTTTTTTGTTCAAAATAATCCCAGCTTAAAAATAGCTAGTACCCCGCCTAAACCTGCCCCAGGTCTTAAAAATTAATTAAAATCTAATGAGAATATTAATTACCATAAATATTGTTAATATTTTTATACATGATAAATTGAGCCTATTATATCATTTAGAATTGATGCCTGGGTAATAAAAAAAGCAAAAATTTAAATATGAGCAATTATGTGTCTAACATTTTTAGACCTACTTAAGCACCTTATTAAAATACATATTTGACTTTTTCAAATCTCAAAGTTTGCTAATTTTTAATTATTTGAGAAGAAATTACCTATTCCGGGATTACACTATCCCCGGTCTCCCCTATTAAATATAAAAATTAAAAATAAATATACAATATTTAAAAAAAATTTGGGCCGGGCCTAATATAAAACCTGGGCTGGCCTCAAATTTTTTTAAAAAAATTATCAATTTAAATATTAAAATACTCTTCATAAAGGCAAGCCCATTTTTGAACAACTTTTCTTAATTTTTTAAACATACATTTTAGAAAGAATGAAAAGGTAAAAAAAATAAGAAAATGTATTTTTTTAAATAGCTTTTTAACGATAAACTCCCAAATATCAGTTGTTCATATCTTACCTCCCCACCTGCTATTGTGACGCATTTTGTAATATTCTCAGCCGTGATATCTAAAATCTCTTTAGGTCGGTATTTTCAGAGCAACGTGAAAATTTTCAAATTTATATATATTAAAATTAAAACCACAACCTTTTTTTGGGTTGTTGCTGGGTATTTAATAACCTTTTAATGTTCTTACAAAGAACAAAAATTAGTTTGACATATGCTATCGGATCATGTAAATATTGAAGATGATTAAATTTAATGAAACCCCCAAAATATTATCATGATAATAAGTTTGTTCATGCAGAGCTTTAGTCGAAACGAGTATTGTTAAATTAATGTCTATATTCACCCGCTCCCACTTCCCTGTTTCTTGGCTGATATTGAATTTCTAAGCTGGTTTTGCAGACCTATAGTTATAGCCCATATAGCTTAAAGGTTAAAAACATTCTAGTTCCCTATCCTTTTAGGCTAATATGGGCTATGTTGGGTTAGTTTATATATGAGATTTTTTTTATCAGCGAACGATCAACCACAGAAACCTTATTCTATTAATTTATATTATTTTTTTTATCTCCCACCCCGACCCTTTTAAAAACGAATATAGAATGTAAATGTAATGAATGTTATACATAATTGAATATATCTTTTCCTTGTTCAACAATATATATTATGATCTCTTACTGATATCTAAAAATCAATAAATATTAATTTAAAAATTTGGCCCTAATATTTGTTAAATATAATTACTGATCTTAAATCGATAATATGTTTAGTGCTAATATATTATAATTTTATACATCAATAAAAATTAGGATTATGAAATTATAAATTCGCGAATAGTATTTTCGCCGATTTAATATAATATCCCCTTTAACTTGATTAGCGTGATCTCTTTCTTATGTTAATTAGTGTCATGTAAATTTAAAATAATAAAATTATCCTTTTTTTTACTATGTAAAAATTATACCTGGATATTTAAATCCATGTAATTTACAGCCCTGGTGGGGTTTTGGAATTTGGTCATTTATCAACGGAAATATGAGAAGTTAATGAATGATGTATTATATCATCTTTTTAAAAATAATTAAAATTAAAATAAATATATTCGAAAAAAAATGATATTATAATTTATTTGGGCACCTGTGAATTGTGAGATTGTATTCAAACACATCATAAATATGGATATGTTTTCCATTGTAACATCGGTATTGCTACCCAAATTTCAAGAATTTTTTTTGCTCTCAAAGATGGTAACAATTAGGATTATAATATTGTTTACGAAGGACTATTTGCAATTTAAGTGGATTCTACTCGGGTATAAAAAATCGATCCAGTCCGTATTTTTAAAGTCTCCTTCGGGTTTTTAAATCATAACCTTAAGATCTCTTATAATTATTTCTATAAAATATAAATCCTGGTTATAACATATTGTTAAGGACTCAGGAATATCCGAGTTTTTAGTAGACCTTTATTCTCAAAAATCCTCATAATAAAATGACGGAAACATTATATGGACAAAATATACTCTAATCATCAGAGTTGTTAAAGTAATCTAGTTATATTTTAGAAGTATCGGTATCTATTTTTAGATATATTATGATATAATTTTATTTTACGTTTTTTATATTAAAAATAATAATATTTGATTTAAATTTCTTAAGTTCGAGTTTTTAAAAAACTAATCAAATATTTTAATTTACCCAAAGGATGACGACAACATGGTAAATTTTTTAATTATGATCTATTAAAGTTTCCAACTCACTGTAAACAGATAACCTTCTAATAATTTAATATCTATTTTTTTTAGAAGATTTGAAATAATATAAATTTTTGTACTAATCAAATTTTCACTATTTTATCAGGATTTCAGTATATTAAAAGATTATCCAAATGTTAAGTTGTTAATAAAATATAACACCACTCTGCCGTCAAATGCCACGATAGAAAGATTTAGTGTGGCTTAAAATTTTGAGAATGCTTCATTATTAAAATCTAACAATGATTACTTACTGGCTGATAGCCCGGCAAGAATGACAGAAAATCCGAATTTTCACCTTAGTTTGATGATAGATTAATCAGAAATTCCGCCCAAAAGGGGGTCTGGGGGCGACACATAACTCAAAAATCAGCTTATCTTATGAATAAATAATATGAGGAATAAATATGGAGAATATATTTATACGCAAATAACTGGCCTCCCAACTATGTAATCACTATTGATCTCCTAAGATTGTGACACTCCCACTAAGATGATAATAATAATTATAGTCAAAAAATATTTTAATTATCTTTTATTTGGTACCTATATCAATATTTTATGTTGATAAAATATTCCTGACCCCCCATAGACTAGAAAACTTTAAGTCATATTTAACATATGGCCATAAGATATTTTAATTACTTTTATTTGAAACCCATATCAATATTTTAGGTTGATAAAAATATTACTGAATCCTCCCCCCCTCCCTCCCTAAGACCTAGACATTACCACTTAAAAAATATTTAGCATTATAGTAAAAAGATATTTTTAACCTTAATTTTATCAATATTTGTGTTGATAAAAATATTCCTGACCCCCCCCCCCACACCACACCACCCCTTAAGACTTAGGCCCGCTCACTTAGAGTGATAATTATGATTTCAATTGAAAAATATTTTATTTACCTTTTATTTGATACCCATATCAAATTTTTAGATTTACCCCCCCCCCCCCAAATCAAATCCAACCTATAAGGCCAAGAATAAATATTCTTATTTTAACCAAGATTTTTAATTAGCTTCTATTTGTTATCCATTTGTGTTTATAAAATATTCCTGACCCTCAAGACCTAGACTCACCCACATAGGTGTTAATTATCATTATAATCAAAAGATAAATTAACTACCTTTTATTTTATACCCATATTAAATTTTTATTTTAACCCCCCCCCCCTCCCACCATCTGGATCAAGTCCAACCCATTAAGATCAAGAGTACTATTATTTCAGTCAAAATATATTTAATTAGCTTCTATTTGATACTTATATCAATCATTTATCTTGATGAAAATATTCCTGACATCCTCGCCTACCTCCAGTCAGTCCAAGTCTAACCCAGGCCCTAAAAAATTTTTTTTAAAAATACTCTTGACGTATATTTTAAAATCAAATATTTTATATCGTCATTATTACCTATAAAAATAAAATATTTTAAATAGAAATCTAAAACCTGGGCCGGGCCAGAAAAAATTAAAAAAAAATTCTGGACTGTGTTGTTCAAATGATACATCTGTAGGGTATATCAAATACCATTGAATGAATATTCCCATAAATAATACTATTATTGAATATATGGTTGACCTTTTTTAAGATATATATAGATAATCATATAATTAATATATGTATTATTAAAATGTGTAACAATATATATTATGTATATAGATAAAATATAATTTCAATAAAAAATAATTAAGCTCACTTCAAAATTTAAATTTTAACAACTGGATACCATACATAGTTGTGTTAAAAATATTTCTTGATTGTATCTATACTTAGATACATTTGTAAAAAATTGTTTCTTTAAGCTGATACAGATACATCGTCTAAAAATTAAAATGTATCTTTATCTACATATAGATTTGGAAAGTATCTTTTAACAACTCTGATAATAATCAAGTATAAGAAGCAAAACGTTTTTTTGTATTAACATTTTATCTAGCTAATTATTATATTTTTATTATTATTAAGATAACCATTTTGCCAGAACATTTCCTTCCTCGCTCGCTACTTTTTGCTCTTCCGGATTCTACCAGATTTTCCCTAATAGATTTTCCGCTCCACTTGCCATTGGAACTTTTGGGTGTAGATACTTGTTTGAAAGTTTTGACCTGTATTATTTTGGAGCAAAAGGTTTTTCCCTAAAAAATGAACGTTTTGTAAAATTTTAATTTGAAAATAAATATAGAAATGCAGAGGGCTATCTGAAACTGAATCAGAAGAATTTGGGTTCGACAAATCGTTTATAGGATTCGAGTCTACATTTTAAAAAAAATATTTTATAAAGCTTTTTAATTTTTTAACTTTTTAACGACGATTAGCTTTCTTTGTTTAACTCATACTATTTTTTTATTCACAAATATGTGAAATTGAGGGAGAAGGGTAAAGACTATGAAAAAAGAATTGAACATGATAATAAAGGTTGCGAAGGATGAGCAAAAGAATTGCGTGATTTTAACATATTTAAGCAGGAGTTTTTTTGTATAAAAATAGTGGAAAGCATATTATTCTTCAGAAATTATACGATAAATCAATTTAACGGATTCTGAAAGAGCCGTTTTAGAGTTCTAATGTCTAAATTTTATTTAAAAAAATTAATTTATTATTGAAATTTACGAAATCGAATTGAACGCATAATGTATAAATGCGAGAATCATTTTATTTATTTTGAAAAATATTGGTGGTCGTAGCTTTAGTGTCTGTAAACTTCTGTACTACAATTAGATCCAAATTATCCTTCGAATCACTAAATTCATTCATTTTTTTGAAATGTTATATATGTGTAAATAAAATAATGCCATATAATTTAGTAAAAAATTATGTTAATAAATTTAAATAAAATTGAAAGTTTAAAAAGTTTACAAATCAATAATTTTAGAATTCACGAGTTTTAAATTCCCAAGCTTTATGAAAAAATTAACCTTTCATTTGTGCCTGTTTCTTTTTTAAACAAATCAACTTTTTTAAAATAGGTCGTTGTTCAATCTAGAGATCACAATGTTTTAACTATGAGCGTTTTAGCGTTGGTAGCTATGATATACCCCATGGAATACATGTTCCCTATCATCCCACTACTGCCCGTTACACTACGGGGATCAGAACAGGTAATATCGAAAATAGGATTTTGAATTATTTAGAAATATTACATATAATTATATTGACAATATCTCGGCGGATATTTGAGAGCCTGGGGTAATTACTATTATTGATTTAAATCTTTATAATTGGTGCGCGAAACATAAAAATAGGCATAAATATGAAATTGTGAAGCAATCAAATGAATAGTGTGTTTAATTTGATAATTTTTTTTAAAAAAAAGAGAAAGTCATCGTAGATGTTCATTATTATATTTTCATGCAAAAAAAGCATCTAGGGGATTTTCTATCTTATTGATGTCATCCTTTTTAAAGAAAGCATCCATAGAAGTGGTTTTTTATGGTTATAACTTACAACCAATCTATTGGAATCAGATTATTTGATCCTTCAAACCATCCATTTAGGTCATCTATGGACCCAGGAAGTTTGTAGGACCAGTTCATGATTAAATTTGGATGGAATAATTAGAAAGGTTGGAGAATAGAATCTAATAAATATAAATTAAGTATAATGTTATATTTTTATATTAACAACTTAAATTAATTATATTAGATAAATTGCCAGGAATTTCCCTGAGCAAATGATTTGTTTTCCATGGAAGTATTTCCCATAGCATTTTTCGAATTTATGCTAATTTTTTTTTTTGCCATTTTTTTTATCTTTTATAATTTTTATCTTCAGTCAAATTTTAAATAACTTTTTATTAGTGCAATAATATCTGATAACCAAGAATTATCTCTCATTCTTATTACATCAACTTACTTACCAACTTACTGTTATTAGACGTTATTTTCTGTTACGTAACTTATAAGTTTGCTATATTGTAAAATATAGTGATATTTTTTTAGCCGTTTTTTGATCGTTATATTATAAATAAAATTTATATTTTAGAGATAAATATAAGAAATAGACAAAAAGTGAATCCAACATTTTTTAATGTTTCATTTTAGTTAAATATTGGTGCAATGAAATTCCATGCTATATGGGAAGGTATTTCAATTTCGCAATTAATCTAGTGAAAAGGGATTTGTACAAATCAAACACTCTGTATTAGCTGCAAAATTATTCTCAATTCCTCCATCCAGTACAACCATAAATAATATGGTCTTTGGAATAACACAGTCAAAGATAATACACACCATGGAAGAGTGAGAAAATGTTAATCAACATCTAGATGATGAAATTCGCCCAGTCTAATAAAATGGGAACAATCAATGAAGAAATGCATATATCTTATGAATGTATTTCGAGATGATTTTTAATCATTTTATCTTTTATTAAAATTTTAACAACCCGAACCGTTAAGTATAATGGATTCAGTTTGATTACGCGTCAGGGACAAAATCATAAAGGTTCCCGTTCGGTTACGGTTCAGTTGCTTAAAATTATAAAGGATTCGGTTCGGTGACAAAAAACATTTATAATGAGTATTTCAGGTTTTATAATATTTATAAAATTTAATCAAAAAAGATAATGACAAAAAATAATCATTTTTTATTTATTATTTACATATATAAATAATGAAAATATCAGAGTTGTTAAAGTATCAAGATCCAAAAATGTGGTATCTTTATCAAGTAGTGCTGTAAACATCTAACGAACTCGTTAAACTTTCACCTACAAAAAAAGAATCGAACGTCTTTTAGCTACGTTCATCTTCAAAAAAAAAACGCATTCACTTTTTCAAAACTTTACGAATAATTTTTTTTTTAATTTTAATTTAATAATAAATACCAGAGTTGTTAAAAGATACTTTTTAAATGGATCTAGATACAGATATATCGTCTAAAAATTTATCTAGAGCTTCTAAAAAGTTATCTTGATACAGATACAATTTAAAATGTATCTAGGTACAGATACAATTTAAAATGTATCTAGGTACAGATACATTTTTTATTATACTCTTAGATAAGGTTTGAATAAACCTAAATTAGGATTCTATTGTGAAAATTCATGAAATGATCTAAGAAATTTATTGACTCGATATCACATTTATCAAAATATAACTAAAATAATGATTTTAAGATATTAATATAATATATGATTAATTTAAATAATTATTATATATCATTAATAAAATAATGTAATATATGATTAAATGATTATAAATAATTATTAGATTTCAGTAATAAAATATTTTCAAAATTTTGGTCATTAAGACATCCTCGTTTATCTGTAAAGACATTTTTAGCTATACTAAAAAGTCTTTCAACAGGGGCGCTGGAAGGGATTGTGGTGTTATATTTAATGAATAACATTTTTATATCAGGATATTGTTTAAAAATACTAAAATATCGGCATTCATTTTTGAAAAAACTATTTAAAATTTGTTGATTATCAGAATTTAAATCATTAACAATCATATCTTCTGCTGTGGGATACTGAAAAAAATCGGATATTAAATTATTGGGTTTTTTTTCACAGGTTAATTTGCACTCATTTGAAGACTTTGATAATTCCTCAACTAATCTTTGTATTAATTGTTTTTTTTTATTAAAATTTTCATCCATTTGTAACCATGTCCAATCTAGTTTAAAAAAAGGATGAAGCATAGTTGCCAAAATATTTTCATCTTCAAAAATTGTCCCATTAAACCTAGAATTATTAAATATTGATTAATTTATTATTAATTTACCTATCTTCAATCCCTTTAAGTAAGGCATTTAAGAGTGGTAAACAAAATTTCAGGTTCATTTGTTTAAAATTTTTCAATTTAATAATGAGCTGGGAAATAGTTGCACAGTAATAAGCTGTGAACATATATTTATCTCCCTGCAGGATATCAAGTGAACTTGCTACCGGCTTCATTAGCTAATTTAAAATAATGCTGTATATATAAATTTTATTTATAACTTACTAAACAATATTCATGAATAAAATAACATTCATTAGATAAAAATCTAGATAGTTTTATTCTATCGCAAATCTTCTCCAATTTTTCAAATTTAGTCTTAATAATTTCTGACATTAATTGGAAAGCATTATAAGTGGAGTTCCATCTAGTTATATTGGGACATATAAAATATCGGCCAATATTGTTTTTTATAATCTCAGCTGAATTTTGAGATTTATTTTGTCTATTCCATATATTTTGGCATTTAAATGTTGTGCTATATATCTAAGGAATAAAATATTAAATATTATAATTAAAATTATAGTTTTACCCTCTGATATTGTTTACACTGCAAGGCTCTATTTGCATCTACAGTGGCAACAAGATTCAATCAATGTGTGACTGGCACAACATTGATGATTAGGTAAAATATATGATTCTCATATTCCAAAATCCTGAGCAGTAGTATAAAGACCTGATATTGATATTGGTGCAACTGTTTCTTCATCTTCAGATCATCTATGGATTCACTAATATTTTCAATTGGCTTGAAAACTCTATCCTAAATGAGTAATATTATGTTTAAATTTATAATAAAATAAACCTAAAAGAAAAGTTTTTGGCATTATCAGTAATGGTCTTTGATATTTTATTTTGTATGCAATAATCCTTTGCTATATCTTGTAAATTTTTTGCTATTTTATCATATGTATGACTACCAGTCATTCTTTTACAAGCCAACGGTACATTTTTTCTTTTTAAACTTGTTGGATCTATATAGTGTGCACTGACTCCTATGTATGAACTAAAAATTAACATTTCTTACAACTGCTCAAATAATTTGTTTGTAATTAAATTATTATACAAATTTAAATGTTAGCTATACCGGCGATAGGCACTCCAACAATCTGCTGTTATGCATATTAACGATGGTTCTATTAGACTTTTAAAGATTTCTTTCTTTTCATTATCCCATCTTTGTGAAATTCTATCAACCACTGTCTGTCGGCAAATTATATTTTTTTGTGGATCTAATGTTTTGATCATTTTTATAAATGAAGGATTTTCAACAATTGAAAATGGCTGAATGCTATCTATAATAAAATCAGTTATTAAATCATCTAAAGTGGTTTGGGTTAAAGTCTGAGGTCTCTTGAAAAAAAAATTAATGGACGATGAGCCTAGTCCAATATTTTCTTTAATAGATTATTTCTCCTTCCCCTTTTTTATTTGGATTAAGAGTGTTTGATGTTTTCTCTTAAAATTTAAAATTAAAATTGTAAACATTTATTTAGTATCTATACCCTTAAATGTTTTACAATGTTGCAAGTTGAGGTAATGCTAACTGAAATTTGCATATTTTTTGGTAGACATGGCAATTTTGAGTTATTATTTTAAAATATGGTCTATAAATTGGCCATGGAAGAATGTCGTCATTTTCGTCATAAATATTAATCTTAAAAATTAATATAATAATTAATAGAATAAAATAAAATAAAATACCAATTCCATTGCAATTAAAAATGGCAAATTCCTTGAGATGGATTGTAATATCAGAATTTGCTTGTTATTGATAACTCGGACATAATATTTAATTAATTTTTATATATTCTTTTTTATATATTTAATATTTTACATATATATAATTTTTTAATATATATTTTAATATTAAGTTATATGCTCATATGAAATAAAATAAATTTTACATTCAAGTATTTTATTTATAATATAAAAAAGCGTTAAATAGAAGTATATCAAAATGTATCTTAAAAAGTATCTAAAAACAGATACAGATACCACATTTCTAGATACTTTAGCAACTCTGAATACCATATATTATTTAACAAAATATATTGGCCAGGTTTAAAATTAAATTTTAAGTCAATAAAAAATATTTTTATTATTAAAAAAATTTTTTATCCATTTTTTAATATATAAAAACTTTAATATATACATAATATAAAATTTAATTATTTATAAAATATATAAATTCATAATACTTTAAATTATGTTCAACCATTAAAATTTAAAACCCTTGATAAAAACCTAAAAACAATAGTGAAATTTAAAATAATCACACTAAAAATAAATAATTTCTAAAAAGATATATTATTTTATATAATATTTAATGATATTTATATTAGGTATCTATTATAATCATATTTATATTAGGTA